GTTTGGTTTATTCAGGTGGAGGCCATCTTCCGATTTCGGAAGATCACTTCGCAATCATCGATGTTTTCATACGTCACCGCTCATCTTCCTTCACAGATAGCCTCGGAGGTGATCGATATTCTTGATCCGATGCCGACTGAATCGCCGTATGAGAAGCTCAAATCAGCCATTCTAAAACGCACTACGGCTTCCGATGAAGCACGTCTACACATGCTGCTTTCTGGCATAGAGCTTGGAGACCGCAGCCCGTCTCAACTCCTCCGGCACATGCGTTCACTTGTGGGTTCCTCGACCCTGGACGATTCCATCCTCAGACAGATCTGGACTAAGTGCCTTCCAACAAACACCACGGCAATTTTAGCAGTCCTCGCTGATGAGCTTCCGTTGGACAAACTAGCCGAAGCGGCTGACAAAGTCCATGAACGCTTCTTTAAATCTGCTGTGAATAATGTGACTGGACCGAGCTCCACTAGTCCATCTGGAAGTACCGCACTTGAGGATATTAGTGAACGACTCTCGCGCTTAGAACTCGCTGTGTCTCACATCGGTCGTGAACGACCTGTTAACCGTAGATTCAACTCCAGGAGTGGCCGCCGTAGTCAATCCCGCACCAGCCGATCGCGATCATACTGCTACTACCACCGCCGTTTCGGCGATGCTGCTCGTAATTGTCGTCCAGGTTGTAAATACCCGAAAACGTTTTTGGATTCTCGGCAGGGAAACGACAACGCCAGCCAGTGATGGCGACAGCTGCTGCTGGCCAAACCATTAGTCGCCTCTTGTACGTTTTCGATTCCACCACCAAACTTCATTTTTTGGTTGATACTGGCGCAGAGGTGAGCGTTATACCTCGATCCTTAGAAAAACGTGCTCTGCGACCATCCGGAATTACTTTACAGGCAGCCAACCAAACCAAGATCGCGACGTATGGCCAGAGACTGTTGACACTTAATCTTGGTTTGCGACGTAATTTCACTTTCATCTTCCTGATTGCCGATGTACAGAAGCCCATCATTGGTATTGACTTTCTCACCAAATTCGGCCTGGTCGTAGACCTGCGATGTGGCAAGCTACGAGATGGTACTACATCGTTAACTGTTTCCGGACAGCTCGCTACGGTCAATTCCATTAAGCTTCATGTACTTCTGCCTAAAGAATCACGCTACTCATCACTGCTGCAACAATTTCCCTCCCTCCTTAGAGCAGATGACGGCACTCTAGAGCCCAAGCACGATATCTGTCATCATATCGTCACAACCGGTCCTCCTGTGTCTGCCAAGCCAAGACGCCTTCCACCGGACAAACTACAAGCGGCCAAGAGAGTGTTCGAACACATGCTTAACCTCGGGATCATACGCCCTTCCAAAAGCTGCTGGGCATCTCCGCTTCATTTGGTGCCCAAGAAGACCAGCGATTGGAGACCATGTGGCGACTACCGTGCGCTCAACAATGTCACTGTTCCCGATAGATACCCAATTTCCCATATCCATGATTTTTCTAGTAACTTGCACGGAAAGTCTGTTTTCTCTACAATCGACCTAGTTCGTGCATACCATCACATCCCTGTCGCTCCTGACGACATTCCAAAGACCGCCATTACTACCCCCTTCGGTCTCTATGAATTCGTCCGTATGCCCTTCGGATTGCGAAACGCTGCTCAAACCTTTCAGCGATTCATTGATCAAGTCCTAAGGGGTCTAGACTTCGTCTTCGCCTACATCGACGACATCCTCGTCGCCAGTTCGAACGATGAGGAACACCTGTCACATCTCCGTCTGATCTTCGAGCGTTTTGCTCAGTATGGCGTGACGATTAATGTTGACAAATGTATTTTCGGCCAATCCTGTGTCGATTTTCTCGGTCACCGAATCGACCACAATGGTATTCGCCCACTCCCCGAAAAGACGCAGGCAATCGCGGATTACCCAATGCCTCAGTCCTTCAAAAATTTGCGTCGTTTCCTCGGGATGGTCAACTATTACAATCGTTTCATTCCAGATTGTTCCCGGCTACTTCAGCCCCTGACAGATTTACTAAAAGGCAAGTCCCGAAAGTTTGAGCCGACAGCAGAAGCTATTGTGGCTTTCGATAAGATCAAGCAGGCGCTATCCAACGCCACCGCACTTAGCCACATGAAAACCGATGTTGATGCACCTCTCATTCTCAGAACTGATGCATCACAAACTGCCGTTGGCGCCGTTTTACAGCAGCTGATCAACAACCAACCCCAACCTTTGTCTTTTTTCTCCAAAAAGCTTCAACCTGCTCAAACTCGATACAGCACATTCGGACGTGAACTTCTGGCTATTTACCTTGCCATTAAGCACTTCCGACATCTACTTGAAGGACGTACCTTCACTATCCTAACGGATCACAAACCGCTAGCTTTTGCCTTCCGCGGTTCCTCTGATCGATTTTCACCTCGTGAGACCCGTCATCTAGACTACATATCACAATTCACGACAGACATTCGTCATGTTGATGCCACTAACAACGCTGTTGCTGACGCTATGTCTCGTATCGATCTGCATCATTTCTCACGCCAAACTATTAACCTCGAGGATATTGCGGCTCACCAAGAAGACGACCCTGAGTTCGCGGACTTGAAGACAAACGCTTCCTTGAAATTCTCTCAACTGCCTATTGTTAATTCCGATTCCAAAGTCTATTGTGATCTGTCGACCGGAAAGCCCAGACCTTTTGTTCCACAACAGTTCCGCAAACTTGTTTTTGATCATCTGCATGGCCTTTCCCACCCTGGCATTCGAGCCACGGTCAAGTTAATCACTGACCGCTACATATGGCATAATATGCGTTCCGACATCCAAAAATGGGCGAAGCATTGTGTCACTTGTCAGACTAGCAAGATACATCGGCACACGATCACCGTACCTGGCACATTTGCGTTACCCGACGCTAGATTTAAACATGTGCACCTTGATCTCGTTGGACCACTTCCTCCATCCAACGGTTTCCAGTACTTACTGACCTGTGTCGACCGTTTCACACGATGGCCTCATGCAGTACCTTTACGAGATATTTCCACCGAAACTGTTTCGCGGACCTTCGTTGAAACCTGGATATCTGTGTTTGGCACCCCAGCCACGATCACAACAGACAGAGGTCCTCAGTTCAATTCCGCTCTATTTCGAGACCTCAATCGTTTACTCGGCTGTTGTCATCTGCGAACGACCGCCTACCATCCAGCCGCTAACGGTCTTGTTGAACGTTTTCATCGTCAACTGAAAGCCGCAATTACCGCATCCCAATCGAGTACGCACTGGTCCGAACAGCTACCAATTATCCTTCTCGGCATTCGCAACACGATCAAAGAAGACCTAGGTTGTTGCCCCGCTGAACTGGTTTTCGGCACAACTCTCAGGCTTCCCGGTGAGATGGTGTTAGATTCCAGAATCACTGGTGAACTAGACCCAACTTCCTATGTGGTACGATTGCGACAACATTTTTCTTCAGTCCGGCCAACACCGCCCAGATTCAGCCCTCGAAACCAGCAAGTGCACTCTGATTTGCATACCTGCCCTTTCGTTTTTGTGCGCGTCGATGCGGTGCGTAAACCCTTGACACCACCGTATGAGGGCCCTTTCAAAGTTCTTGCTCGCAAAGAGAAATACTTCGTATTGGATAGAAACGGTTCGAAGGATTCTCTGAGCCTTGATCGCTTAAAACCAGCGTACGTCGAAACCAAAACACCACAACAAGCCACAGAACAGACGTTTCCTAGTACCCCTCCTACCCAGCCAATGTGTGAACCCTGTGTGCCCCCCTCTACACCCTCCACTAAACCAGTGAGTGAACCGAATACACTAAAGCACACACGCTCTGGACGCGCTGTTGTTTTGCCTTCCAAACTAATTGCTACCAATAACGCACAACTTTCGAGCGTTCGTTCTCCCGACTCACGCTCTAGGAGGGGAGCCCTGTAGTGTTTATAGATTCTTCACATTTTTCCTTGTAACTTCCTATTCTATCTTCCGTCAATTTTTGTACATTTGTTTTAACTCACTACAAGATATATACTCTTCTTCGAATTTCGTTCGTCTTCTGGTGTCGGTGACGTTGTGCCGCCTTCGAGTGTTGTGTGTGCTTCGCATCGGTTGTTGGATCTCTATTTACGATCAGCGTTCGATTACTCCGTTCGTGTCATCGGACAGGTTTGCTGATTTTTCACCTTTCGTAACCTGACCGTGAGCAATCGTGCTAAGGTCCTATTCGCAGCGGTTCTAACTCTCTGTCAGACACTATAGAATTACTATCAAACGTCCATTTCCACCGTGCTCGACGTGTGCCACAGGTATAACACAACTTACGACTCCAACTCAACTGTGATTAGACTGTGGGTTGACTTTCTCAAACATTTTGCCTTTATTAAAAGACTGAAACTTCCCTAGTATTCTTTCGAACACTACAGGCAGGAAACGTGAGCATTAACTGGTTGGCCAGGGTGCGATACGGGCGTTCCGTTTTAGATCCATCGATAATTGAGTACTTCATCAACCTCCGGCTAAACGATCCAAGATAAAACACCCACGGGATTCCCCTATCGTTCCAGTCCAACCCGAACTTGATCCGACTCTTCTGCATTTATTATCGCGCACGAATGATACCCTGAATCAACGACGCGCAACGGAAGGAACATTCACGGGGATTTATCCTACTGTTCCAGTCATACTTGAAGTAGAACCACCATAACATACATCTGTCGCAGTGAATTCCCTTCTTGACCTCAACGCCACAAGTGTGCTCATCACATTTATAGACAGCAACCGATGTCATTGCGAAAAGTATGTAACAGCCACGTCAAAAATAATAATAAAAATTAAACATTTAATTGACTAAATCGATGCAGGTATGACGGCGAAACATAAAGTCACATTCGAATATAGTGCAATACACAACATTAGTAAATGCGACAGTCAATACAGTAAATTATACGACGTAAAGGAATAACTAAAAGAAGCAAAATACTGAAACGAACTTACGCGACGTTAACGAAGATAGCAGGACGAGAGTGGCTAATTTTTGACATGAAAATTTGGCCTGGAGGGACTATGTGTTCCGGTACACCAGGCTAAATAGTGATGCTTTCATAACTGGATTTGAAAGAGATGTATATAGGTCGTTTTGTGCTTAAGTGTGGACAAAAATGGTACTTAGTAAGCTTTATTAATTGTAAATAGCGCTTTCATTCATTGCAATTTTAAAAAATACAAAAATACAATAATCAGACAAAAGATATGTATACTACTTATCCAAGTAAGTAAGTTAATGCAAGCACAAACCTTACATACATGAAACAATTGCATTAACACTTATTTGCTCTATAAAACTGCGGTTCACACTTCACTTTTTTTACCATTTGCCAACTTTCCATTACGCAGTGAAATTCAACTAACTTGTAGTCATCACTTTAAGTTATCATAACCATTTTCGCGAAGCAAATCCATAGAGCATTATCTTCTATTTCCCACACCTTAATACCACCAAAATTAAGATTATACTCTGCAGCCACTCAAACTATCGTGGATATTACCGAGGACAATGGTAGCGAAACCCTTTCCCGCCAATACAGAAATTAGCCCTTCCCAAGCAGGAACGAGACACAGGGCGTAGAATCCGCATGTGCAAGGTTTCACGGTCCAATAACTCGGAAAAAAATAAACATGCAACGCTGCCCAGTAGTAACAGACCTAGCGGAGTACCTTAGAGATTCTGAGGTTTGCTGTTTGATTGGACGAGAATAAAGCAACTGACCTCTAGCCTCTATCATTCTAGTCTTTAACTCTAATACTTTGTTTTAGTGTACCAAATACTTATTAACCGCATGACGTGGGTTCGAACTTGCGTAGATAGTTTTACGAAATGCTGCTTATTTGGTAAATTATTATACAAAAACTATCAACCATCGTATGTCCAATAATGCATAGTGCGCGTATTCTAATGCAAAAACTCAAATTTATTATCCTGTTTTCATGAATGCTTTATGTAACTAATCCCCAGTCATTGAATCGTTTGCGAAATTGGATCTCCGCAACTTGCACCCTAAGAACAATTTTTTGTAACAACCTACTCGGCACGTGCGTCCGGTGAGAATCCGTGGGGCGTCCTTAAAGCGCCCTATCAGCGCGTTGAATTGACATTTTTGGACGCAAAATGGACACAGACAAAATGTCCAACAAAACTGTATCTAAATGCGTGTAAACAAGTGCACACTCAATCACCTGTGTACGCTGAGTTGCACAAGGGCTTATACTCAACTCGTGTTACTATACATCTACTTAACTATGATGAATTAACCAAGTTTGTGAAATGTTGGGCTGAGCCTGGGACACTAGTCGGTAAGCAATGACACGTAAGACGTGTCAGATACGAGACAGCATAGAATTCGGGGCGACTGAACCCAACATATATTGTGCAGGCTACAAAAGCAAGTAACGAATCAGCGAGAGCGAAACCTGCAGCAAGGTACTCACCAAAACGGTTTGTGTCAACGGATGTGCAGTCAGTAAAACAAGTGGACGTTTAGAAGGTTCAAACAACCGTGAAATGCGATGTTGCAAAACACTGAATGTATGTTTCCCCGTACACTACAAGGGCCTCTCTATAAGGCTGAGTGATGGAAGCCTTCGATGGAGTTGATAGTGGGGGAAATGGAAGGTGAGGGTGGGTGTGAATAGTTGAATAGGCTTGAGTTAGGACTTCAATAGTGGGGTGTGAAGCAGTGTTTGCTAGGTCCAGGCTTTTGTTAGCTATTATTTATCATGATCGTGTGGACCAGGGTGCCTCATCGGTGGGCCGTCGGGGCGGTCTGTTCGGACTGCAGCAAACTGGCTAGTCCAGAAAGAATGCCGGCAGAACCCTCCCTGTGCTGCAGACCCGACGGCGTGCTGGGGACATGTCACTGCTTCTACCCTACTTTCGTCCACAGTCCTCGTCCCACGAAGAAATCCACGCGTCCTCGTCTCACTCTAAGCGATCCGGGCGTCCTCGTCCCACGAAGAAATCGGGGTTTCTTCCTCCCACGAAGATATGCGGCGTCTTCGTCAGCGACTAATCCGTTCGTGGCTGTCTGCTGCCGAGGGAGACTGTCTGTCCGTGGTACAGGAAAGGGGACTTGAGTCGGCTGACGACTCACTCGTGGGTTGCGTTGTGTCGGTTGGCCAGTCCCACAAATGGAGTCCTTGGCAGTTCCTGCGGTTGAGTTTCTGAAAGGTAGAACTCAGTGGAAGTAGGCAAGGGTAGGGGAAGTGGCTTGATGCCGGAGAGGGTATTTGGCATGCATGATAAAAGCAAATAAGCCTGTTAGGTTTTCAGAATGTTTTGGGTTCTTTTGTCCGTTTTGCAAAATAAATAAATAGATAAATTGTGTATTCTCGACTAAGCGACGCACGCCTGCGCAGGCATGATCATGTTAAGAATACAAATCTTACAGTTCGTGTACAATGGAACAATGGAATTCTCGCATATGTTTATATACGGATGTATGTAAGTTTGCATGTAGGCGTGTATAGCTTTGTTAATGTGATGGGTAAATATTTCCTGCCGTTTTGCTCGAATGTGTTTGAACGTCTCGCCAGTGCTAAATGGATGCTTGCTGTCTGTGTACTTGAAGCGGTTGTCCGGATAAGCAATGGTTGACTTTAGTTAGTGGCGATTCACAACCGCCACATCACAGTGTTGTTAAATGGACATTTGTGGCTTTTTATAGGGAGAACGCTTGCCAGGCGAAAACCCACCACGTCCTGGAACACTGCCGCCGAACTATTTGCTGGAAGGGGGTAAACCCGAACCACCCAGCTGGCACCACGAGGAGGTCGTTCAGCCAGCCAAGACGATGAGCACTAAATAAGAAAAACGCGTGTTACTGGAAATAGCAAGCGTTTACAAAATCTGAAAAGCGGACCGGACGTTTGACCTGTCTGCCGCGTCGGTCGGTTGCCGGGTGTTGAGGCGGGGTAGGTTGAGGTCAATAGGTAGGGAGGGTTTCGCGCTCTCCGGTGCTCGGGAACTCAGCGCAGGTGCGTGCGCTTGTGCGAAATCATCAGGATGGGGTGCAAGTGGCTTATCCAAGGAAGCCATTTTGAGGCGGTAGATTGACACCGTTGTTCGGTGACCATTCTGGTCTAAAGTGAAATGTTTCGGAGCCCGGTGCAGAACTTTGAATGGGGCTAGTGTAGGGAGGCTGGAGTGGGCGCTGATACAGACGTTGAGCGCGTCAAGGTCATGCTACACTACCTAGCCTGTGGGGTTGCATTGTGCGCGCTAGTGCGTGAGTGTCCATCTCCCGACTAACCAGCGATGCTTATTGATTGGTTTAAAAGCGAGTGCTTAGCTAAAACATGTGAACTGCGTAAACTTAAACAGTTTATCTTGTACCCAGTGTGGACTGCCGATGTACTATTGCCATTGCTTCTACTAAACTTCCATGTGCAATACTGTTGTTCTGATTTCGGTTGAGTGTAACAATTTGGCGAAGGAGATTATTCTGATTGCCCATGGAAAGTGCAATAACGGCACCCCATCCCTTTTAGAATACTTCTACTGCGAGGCCTACTGCACAACAATGGTTGCAGTGGAAAACTACATTTACTAACTACGTTGATTTGCTTTTGCTCCTTGGCGGAAATTGCACGATTGATGATGCAGCGAAAATTAAATTACTACGCCACCATCTCGGCATCGAGGGCTGGCGACATTTCGACAGTTTACAATTACATACGAAGCCAGACCTAAAAAACTATGTTCTATTCCATGAACCGAATATGGAGAAAATACCCATGTGTTTACTGCTCGGTATAAATTCAGCACCATGTGACAACAGTCAAATGAGACTGTAAATGAGTTTATCTCTCGTCTCCTGACTGCTCTCCCTGACTGCGCCTATGATCAGTTCCTTCCAGCCCAGTTCGAGGAAGCGATGCTCTTACAGGCATTAAGCATGGGTGTTTTGGGTGAGAAAGCACGAGAACGTCTGCTCTCCGAAGATGAAACGCTACTGACGTGGGGAAAAGCATGTGCTATAGTCCGACAGCGTGCCAACCTCGTCCAGGAACTAGCCACATTTCCCTCTTCAAATAAAGCAATCTCGCATAACGTATACAAGGTCTACCAGACTAACCGTGGACATGCCTTACCTCGCCCAGTACAAGGCAAGGAATTCCGTTGTTACCGCTGCGGGGAGAATCACTTGTCCCAGACTGACTCTCCGCACATCCCTTCATTATGCAGATTTTGTGGAAAAATGGGTCATACTCAGAAAGTGTGTCTTTCTAAGCGGAAATCACTCGCACAGGAACAATCTAAGGCTACAAACTGCATTACTGATAAACCACCACAACCGTTTTTAATCGCACCACTACAGCAGAAAAACCGTTTATCGTATCCGTCCAAGTAAACGCACAACCGGTAGAGTTTGAAATTGATACCTGCGCCGCAGTCACATTTATCCGACCAGGCGCCTTATCTCGACTTCCAAAGCTGTGTCCACCAAACATACAGTTGTGATCTTACACGGGACAAATGGTGAATGTGCTTGGTACCTACAGTGCACGCATTTCTTACCGTAATTCAACGAATCATGTGTGTGTATACGTTTCTGGAGGACTGGGTCCAAACATCCTGGGCCGCGATGGAATTAAGCGCCTTCCTGGCATAATGTCGAACGTCAACCTGGTGAAAGACAATCCGCAGTTATCCGAGATTTTGCAGAAGCACGCAGCCTTATTTGATCAGTCGAAATCAGGACTTTTAAAGAGTTACAGTGCACATCTGGTATTGAAACCACAGACAAAACCGCGGTTCTGGAAAGCTCGCACGGTTCCCTATGCCCTCCGTGATAGGGTCGATAGTGGAAGGTACCGTTGAACCCGTCCAGCATTCAGACTGGGCAGCCCCCATTGTGCCAGTATTAAAGAGTAATGGTAGGATAAGAAGCTGCGGGGATTACAAGGTTACGATAAACCAAGCGATAGAATTAGACCAATATCCGCTACCAAAGATTGAAGACATTTACGCTTCCCTTTCCTGTGGTGATCTATTTACAAAACTAGATCTGAGTCATGCCTACCAACAAATTGAACTCGATGAAGA